GCTTTGTAGCGTTCGAGGGTTCCATTGGCATTGAATTTTGGTGTAAAAATCCATCTGCACCCTACTGTTGGCTTTCCTTTCGGTAATTCTGTAACCTTCCATTTTTGGTTCCTTTCCAGTGCACTCATCTCCTCAAGAACGGCCTTTTTCCACTCTGGGACATTTAGATCTTCTTGTATATTTCTAGGAATCTGAATTTGAGTCACGTTAGTGGTAAAGGTAGAAAAAGAGCTGGACAGATTTGAGAGGGAGATAAAGTTAGACATTGGGTATTTGACACATGAGCGTTTTTCTTTTCTTAAGGCTATGGGAAGATCAAGGTCTGAAGACGTACGATATGGTTCTTCTGATCTTGGGTCTGATTCATGGTCATGAAGAGTAGTATCAAGTTCTATTTTTTGATCAGAATTACTTCTTTTATATGTCTGCCCAAAGAACTTCGATGACTGAAACCGCAACCTATTTTCAGAATGATTTTCATGCAAATTTTCAAGAATTGGACTCTCATGCAAGTTTTCAGTGACCTTGGTAGGAGTTTGACTTTGCACAGAGCATTGTGAATTAATTTCTTTAAGATTTTCAGTGTTTGTTGGTTTATTCATTAGAGGTTCCAACTGTGTTCCTTGATCAAAAAATAAAAAAATCTAAATTCTGAGATCTATCAATATTGGTTGCAATGCTTTCTAAATTTTTGTAAGGCTGTGACATATTTTGATTCATTTCAATATTTTGACTCTCCCCCTGAGAAGGATTTCCAAAAAAAGATTGATGTTCAAAAAACTGTGTATCCATTGTTGTGAATAGTTTTCTAGCCGTGGGATCATAACATTTATATCCTTTTTGGTTAGGGGCTATTCCAACATAGACACACTTTCTAGCCTTTGGTTCAAATTTCCCTGCATTTCTATTGGGATTTTGAATAAAAACTGTGCAACCAAATATCTTCATTGACATAGAACTTATTAATCTAGAATTAGGAAATTCCTTTTCTAGCACTTGAATTGGAGTTTTGAATTGAAGAACCTTAGATGGCATCCTATTTATTAAATAAACAAAATATAAACAAAATGTAAAACTGCATCACCCCATAGGTATTTTGGAATATTGGTAGAGAACATAAGGGCACGAGCCACCTCTAAAATGTGTCTATTTTTTCTCTCAGCTCTACCATTTTGTTGTGAAGTGTCCACACATGAACTTTGTTGAACTATCCCTTTTTCTTTAAAAAAATCTCCTAAAACTTGTGCAAAATACTCCCTACCATTATCACTTCGAACAATTTGAATTTTAGTGTCAAATTGTGTGAGTATCATGTAATCATGTTGTAGAAGTTTTTAAAAATTTGCTCTACTTCAGACTTTGCTTTTAACAAATATACCCAGCAAACTCTACTGTGATCATCAATTAGAGTTATGAACCACCTTTTGCCATAACACATTGTGATACGTGAGGGACCCCAAATATCGGTATGAATCAATGCAAATTGTTTAGATGGTTGATATGGATGGGAAGCAAATGTATTTTTGTGATGTTTAGCAAGAGCACAAATCTCACATTGGAAAACTGAAGGATCTTTATTCTGAAACAAACTTGGAAACAATTTTTCAAGTAATAAAAACTAGGATGTCCTAATCTAAAATGCCACAAATAAATTTCATCATTACTCAAAACAGAAGCGGTTTGTAGACATGAACTTCCTAAAGCTTTCTTATTTAAGTTGGTTTCCTCATCTAGGATGTAGAGACCATCACTTGCTCTAGCATTGCCAATCATCTTTCTCGAGACCGGTTCCTGAAACTCACAAGAAGAGGAAGTGAACTTAACAGAACAATGAAGGTCATTTGTGAGTTGATTGATAGATATGAGGTTGCATGAAAACTTAGGAACATGAAGCACGTTAGACAAGGTTAAGAAAGGAGAGACTTTAATGTTGCCAATACCAGCAACTGTTGAGTAAGAACCATCGGCAATTTTGACTTTCCTATTACCAGCACTTGGTTTATATGAATAAAATAGACTAGAACAATTTGTCATATGATCAGAAGCCCCAGAATATATTATCCACAGGGTTTTAGTTTGAAAACAACTAAAGGAAGACACATAAGAGTTACCATTTGAAATAGACTGACAAAATAAGATTACCAGAAGAGGCTCTATCAGATTCAGATATCATCATCAGGATTTTCACTATTTGTCCTTGAGTGAATTGGGCCGTTTCTGATTTGACTTGTTGCACTGCAGGAGGTTCAACCATGGCGTGAAGGGCTCGATCGGATTTAGGTTTCCACCCCGGTGGTTTGCCATGAATCTTCCAGCATGTATCACGGGTTTGCCACAACTTCTTGCAGAAATCACACCAGGGTTTCTTCTTCTGGTCCCCGATTTGTTCATTGTTTCGAACTACCAGTGCAGAGGCATCATTTGCAACGTTGTCACTGTCCATCAGATGTTTGTCCGTGCTCATGATCTTGCGCCTATTCTCTTCAAGACGAACTTCTGAGAAGACCTCACGGATTGATGGAAGAGGTCTACGACCAAGAAGTCTACCTTTGACATCGTCAAGGTTTTGATTCACACCGGCAAGAAACATAAAGACACGATCATTTTCTTCACGTTTCTTCTGGCGAGCTTGGTCATTCTTGTTCTCCCATACATCGTTGTTGCAGTGATCAAGTTCCTGCAAAAAAGAGACCATTTCGTTATAGTAAGTGGTCACATCACGCTGACCCTGCTTGGATTTCCATAGTTGGGTTTTCAGCTCAAAGGTTTGTGCGAAATTTTCCAGATCTGAATAAGTCTCACGAACAGCATCCCAGACTTCCTTCGCTGTCTTGAGGAACATATGGGATCTAGCTATTGAAGCATCCATGGAATTAAGCAGCCATGCAGTGACCAGGGAGTTCTCCGATCGCCATACCTTGTAATTTGGTTCATCAGGTTCTGGGACTTTGGTCTCACCTGTCAAGAACCCTAGTTTGCCTCTACCATCAATGGCCAATTTTACGGATTGAGACCATTCCAAGTAGTTGCTTCCATTCAGTCTATGAACAGTAACCTGCATAGATGAATGAATTGCTTCTACTGAAGAGGTGGAAGAGGACACAAGAGGTTGGGTGGTGTTTGAGCTGGTTTGGGATACGAGAGTAGTCATTGAATTTTTTTGATCGGCTATTTCTAAAAAGTCTCTGATACCATGTAGGTTTGAATAACTGAAATAGCTTAATTATTCAAGAGTCAGGGAGGTGTATAAATACACATGTACAGGAGGTTACAGATACTAAAAAATAGGATCAGAACTAAATGCTAGGAACACAATAACAACTAAGCTATCTTATCCCTAAAAGACTAAACGTACTCTAACTAATTACAATTCTAATTATATACAACATTGTTTACGTAAATCCACAATAAGGATGTTTTCTTTTGTACTGTTTTCAGTCCCAGACCAGACTAGACCACACCAGACTTTTGTAGTTATAAAATATACAGAGATCAGACGTTTACCAGACTAGACCAGACCAGTTCAGGCCAGACCAGACCAAACCAGCAAATTTCATTCCAAGAGAAAACATCCTAAGCCTACTTTAAGTCTTTAAGTGTCCCTAAATAATGACTAATTCTTATATAGAGCTAAGTAATGATAAGTAACAACAAGATCTATAAAAGAAAAATGCAAATTGGTAACAAATAAATCTAAATGAGGAGAACAAGAAATAGAGTAGAGCTGTTATCTAATAAATATTATTAATGAAACAAAGACAATGAAACATATATATCTAGGATTCTGAAAATTCACAAATAGGACAATGATACCAACAAAGTCAAATATATAAACCATGCAAACTTAGTAAAATCAAATTCATGAATCAAAACCCTAGAATTACGATGATTTGCTCGGAAATCAAACTTAAAATGAAATTCATAATTAAATGTATTTTCATGTGCATTATGAATGAAAAACGTATACTCGCCGCAATAACTGATGATTACTAACTTGTCGAAAGTTAAAATGAATGGGATTCAACAGAGAAGTTAAGATAGGTGATTGAGGGGTAATTGAACCACTAAAATATAGATCCGTTTAAATACATTTTTTCTATAGGGAGTCTTTTGAGCATGTAATAATGATATTTTTATTTGAACTTATTTTAATTAAAACTAGATCAAATTAGATTGGACTAGACCAGATTAGATCAAATTAGATCAAATTTAGACAATTATAAAATACACTTATACACATAGACCAACATTTATCAGGTCAAATCAAATCAGTTCAGATCAAACTAATTTAGACCATATTAGATCAAACCAAATCAGATATTTTTTTTTTTGGGAAAAGTACGGAAAATGTACTTGTGGTTGGACCCGTTTTCAGATAGGGTAATGTGTTTCATTCTTTATCATAGTGATTCATGTGTTTGAGATCCGTTATCACAAGAGGGTCACGCTGTTAAAAACGTCTGAAAAAGACCGTTAAAAGTAAATCAGATTTTCAAAGTGTCCAAAAAACTAAAAGAAAAATATTGGAAGGTGCGCCTCAATAAGACTACCGCTAGGCTATCTTTGTTTTTTTTGTTTTTAGTCACCCTTATCACCAGAAAGTCTACCGGAAAAGTGATATTAGCGAAATCCTTTTTAAAAAATAATTCAAAAAGATCTGAAAAAATCCAAAGGCAAAGGTGGTTTGGAGGTCATCTTGACGAGGCGCACCTTTCGGTATTTTTGTTTTAAATTTCCGGGCACTTTTGAAAATCGGAGTTACTTTTAACGGTCTTTTTCAAACATTTTTAACGACGTGACTCTCGTGGTAACGGAATTCAAACATATGAATCACGTTGATAAAGAATGAAACACATAAACTTATCTGAAAACGGATCTAACCACAAATATTTTTTCTGTATTTTTTTCAAAAATTTAAGTACAAGTTAAAATATCCTTTTCTAGTGAAGGTTAAAACATCCTAACTACTGGTCTCCAAGCCAAAAAAACTACGGAGTAGTCTATACGACTGTCATTAGTAATCCGTTCAGTAGAAATTAAATAATCATTCATATCTGAATTTAACAGCTCAAGAATCCAATTCCTGCGAAGTCAATCGCGTGAGTGCTTTATCTCTGTAACCATCTTTGTTCTTTGATTTTGTTTCTCCAAACACATTTTTCGATCGTGTTATTATAGATCTAAAGTTCTAAACAGATGTACTCTGTCTGATGTCTAGATTGTCTTTGTTCGTTTATGATCTTAAAACGGTTTAGATTTAAAAATGTGCGTAGCTCTTCAGTTCGTTGATTCCTTGATAAAAATAAGAAAATACCAAGGTAGCTATGTCTTTTGTGATTACTCGATTGTTGTTTAGCACATTGGTACTCGAACTTTCTTGATTTTGCGGCTGTGGACCTTATTGACACAATCAGGGCAAGTTTAGTTATGTTTTAATTTGCTAGGACCCGAATTCATCTTTTATACTACGTATTTAACATGTGCAGCTAGATTTCAATCATACCCAAGTTAATTACATCATATATAGTGCTCAGAAAGTTGCAGTTATAGTGTGAAGAACTTATTTAAGCCATGGTAAAGGACACCGAATACTATGATATCTTGGGGGTAAGCGTAGATGCCACACCTGCAGATGTTAAGAAAGCGTACTATATCAAGGTAAATACTCATTTTTTGAATGAAAGTTGTGTATTTACAAAAATTGTTTCTTTGCATTTTAGAATTTCATTTTCCCTTGAATTGTGTAAGAAGATAACAAAACATTGTGAAACGTAATAGTCTCTGTAGCTCTGGATTTCTCGTGCAGCCCTTGGCTGCTACATTGTTAAGAAACTTAATGCACAAGTAGCTTTTGACTTACCTATTTGTTTGGAAGGAGGCTGGATCAAGAAATTCAACCCATTCAGCCATTACCCTTTACAGAGCGGGCTCTAAGTAACTTATTATTGTTTGTTCCGCTAGGCAAGGGTAGTTCATCCAGATAAAAATCAGGGGGATCCACAAGCAGCTCATAAATTTCAGGTAATTTTGTCTATGTGAATTTAACTATTTATGTATCTCTTTAAGATGTTTTTCTTGGCAGTGATTGCATCTTGGTAGCAAATTATTTGAAGTACATTGGGTTCTTGACTTCTTGTAACTCTAAATGTTCTGAAATATCATACTAACTGCACTTCAGCGTCATTTCCTCTTAAACTAATGAGCAATCAAACCAATGATCAAACATTTCTTTGGTAATACTCTGAGTAACTTAACATGTACTTTTACTGCTTCTTCATGAATATTTTAGGTGCTTGGAGAGGCTTATCAGATCCTGAGTGACCCACATAAACGTGAAACCTATGACAAATACGGGAAAGATGGAGTACAACAGTAAGTATTATAGGAATGAACTAGGATCAGTATGTTTATAGTTAAATCTTTGGAGGAGAATGTTTTCTAATATTCAAGAAAATATTTTCCTTTGAGTCAAACCTTATGTTATACATTTAAGTCCTTATTTTACAGGAACCATTTTCTACAAAAACTCCACTACAAGTTATTTTCCATGAAACAAACGGAGCCTAAAGCGGGACTGATTTGTTATGTTTTTATTTTGGATTTTTAGGGACACAATGGTAGACCCTGCAGCAGTTTTTGGAATGCTATTTGGGAGTGATTTCTTTGAAGATTATGTAGGACAGTTTTTATTGGCTTCTTTGTCAGTTGTTGAAGCTGAGGAGGAATCCACTCCACCTGAGCTCCGCAATAAGAATGTTCAGGAAAAATTGAAGGTATGACCTACTTTAATTTTAACCATGGATGGTTAGGTTAATCATGCTGTATAGTAGTTGAAACTATCGCACTGGTGGTACAGGCTTTACAGAAGGAAAGAGAAGTGAAGCTTGTAACAATTTTGAAAAATCATCTCCATCCATATGTTGAAGGTCATGCTGATGAGTTTTTAAGCTGGGCGAAATCCGAAGCAACCCGTCTCTCTCAAGCTGGTATTACTACACCTATGTTCTTTTTTAGTACATAACTTACAAGAGTTTTTGGCAAAATCATTTTTGTGCAGAAGAGTTTTAAACAAAAGATATCAAGGTGATTTCGCCCTTCTCTATTTTTTATACAATGGGAAGTAGAATCATAGAACAGTCAAACTACATCATCGAAGTTGTAAGTAAAACAATTGAGTACACTTCACAGAACCAAATACAATTCTTTTGTTGAAAGGACTAGAAACAAGCAACTAGTTTCCCATTAAGAAGAATGATAATTGATTGAAAGTTGAATGTTTATGCCAAAGATAGGAGAGCATTACAAAGGAAGTATTACAGGGTTGTTGATTTATTAAGGCATGTGTTATGTGTTTTTTATATGCCTTAAGTGTGTTAAAGGGTGATGCAATCTTGGTGGAGCCTATGCATATACGAAGTATACAAGCATATGTGCTTAGTTGTGTTTTCGAAGAGTTTGTTAGAGAAAAGTCAATATCCATTAGTCTATTTATTGCTCTTATCTCAAGATACAAGTTAGAGTAAAGTCAAACTCATTTCTCTCTCTCTCTTTTTCTTTTATCTGTTTATCTTCTTTATCTTTCTATGTTCTTATGTTACTTTTATCTTTTATCTTTGTTATGTTCTTTTATCTTTTTATCCTTTATCTTTCTTATGCTCTTATATTATTTTTATCTTATATTTATCTTTATCTTATCCATTTGATCTTACCTTATCTTTTTATTTTTCTAATCTTTCTTCTCTTCTTGGATCTGATATCATGGATCGATTCATGTTAGCCGATCCTAAAATCTTTTGGGAATAAGGATTGGATGTCGTTGTTGTTGTAAGGCGATTGAATTGAGAGTTTATGTAAGAAACTTGGAGCATAATATGCTCCAACCTGGGGGGGGGGTTGATTATTATTAAAAGGTGTGCTGTTTTAATGATCTGCCCGTAGTAGCATATGTGTATATTTAAGTGGCGTAGTTGTGTCTTTAAATGTGCAGTTTAAAAAACGGTCTCTATTACATAGTACGTAGTAGTATATATTTATTTACCATCTTTTAGTTTTCTCTTATTTTAGCTTCATCCTCTCCACTTGTTGGATCTTAGAGCCCTAAAGCCTTCACTCTTCATACCCTCTGTTTACACAAAGTTTTTTTAGGAAGTACTAGAGTTTTTTACTACTCATATAATTCCTAATTTTCAAGGAAATTCTCTTACCTTATTGCAGCCAGATTGCCCTAGATTAGAAGCTGTTCTCTTCACCTGATCTGAATGTTTCTGATCTGAATTTTTTAAGTTCTGATCTGATCTGAATCTTTCTGATCTAATCTGAATGTTCCTGATCTGATCTGAATGTTTCTGATCTCATCTGAATCCTTCTGATCTGATCTAAATCTTTCTGATCTGATCTGATTTGAATATTTCTAAAATTGTAATTATAATTATAATTACTATAATTATAAATGTAATTACACATATATAATTTAAATATAATTATAATTATAATCATAATTATAAAAATTATAATTATAATTATAAACATAATTATAATAGGTATAATTATTATTATACGTATTATTACACTAGTTATAAATATAGCTATAATTATAATTGTAATTATATTTATAGTTATATTTATTTCTATAATTATAATTTTAATTATAATTATAATATTTATTTCTATAATTTTAATTGTAATTACTCCGTATAATATGATAATTACGAAAACAAAACTAATAACAATAACAACAACAACCATAATAGTAGTAAGAATAATAATAATCATGATAATAATAAATATCATAATAATAATAATCATAATAATTATAGTAATCATATTAATAATAATAATACTAATAATAATAATATCAATAATAATAGTAATTATAATAATTACAATAACAACAACAATAATAATAATAATAATAATTATTATTATTAATATTATTATAATTATTATTATAATAAAAGGGATAAATCATGTCTGAACTTTCCTGATCTGATCTGAATGTTCCTGATCTGATCTGAATGTTCCTGATCTGATCTGAATCTTTCTGATCTGATCTGAATGATTCTGATCTCATCTGAATCTTTCTGATCTGATCTGATCTGAATTTTTCTGATCTGATCTTATCTGAATAAAATAAGAATAAGCAATAAGTAATAAGATTATGACGAACAGAACAGGTTCATAGTAGTCACTGGCCCTTGTTCTAGTAGTTAAACAATTGTACATTAAATTTGCTGGAAACTTTCGAGTGTACGATCTCATCTACACCATTAACAACCATGTTTAATGTTCTACATTGTGAATTTATTCATAAAGTCATATTTCCCTCGCTATCAAAATAGGAATCTGAGAAAATAAGATAAAATCTGCTCAGAATCACACATAAATTTTAGTTTTGCCTAATTTTTCTATATTTTAGACTCCCTTAATCAGTACATTTTAGATTGGTCACCGTTCCTACCCTGCACGTGTTTTAACTATTGTGTTATAGTTAGAAACCATATCTTATGAAATGTAGGAGATGCTACATACTTAAATGCATAGGAGGGACTTACAGTTTTCCTATTCTTCAGCTTTTGGTGAAGCTATGTTACATACTATTGGTTACATTTACACAAGGCAAGCTGCCAAAGAGATTGGAAAAGACATACGTTTCATGAAGGTGCCATTTTTAGCAGAATGGGTACGCGATAAAGGACACCGCATAAAGTCACAAGTTGGTGCTGCTTCAGGTTGACAGTGACTACAATTTGCAAGATGTTGTTCAAATCTCAAAGTCTACGGTGCATGACTAACATATTTTTGTTGTCTACTAATTCTTTACAGGCGCCATCTCTTTGCTTCAAATACAAGAGGAAGTGAGGAAGTCGAGTGAGGGAGAGGTTAAAGAAGAAAGTGTAATCAAAACTCTAGAGGAGAAGAAAGATGCCATGCTTAATTCCCTTTGGCAGATTAATGTTGTTGATATTGAAACTACCCTGTCTCACGTTTGTCAAGCAGTACGTACTTTTTGGTACCTTCATTACTTATGATGATGAACTTTTTTTTACACACCCACACAAACACATACATACACACACACACACACACATAAATACATATGTATACATATACATACATATAAATATAAATGTATGTGCGTGGTAAAAAAAAGTAGAGAAAACTGTCAAATAGGTCCTCGAACTTTCATAAAAATGTCAATTAAGTCCTTCTATAGGAGACTCTATCCGGTCATTGCGATTTGGGGCGGTTCCCGGTGCAATTTTTTGATGAAATTTTTAGAGCATCTTATTCACCAAGTCTAGTTTACTCATACCAAATTTCAGCTAAAAATTCAATCGGGAACACATTCAAATTAATTCTTAAAGATAACTGCGCATTTTTGCGTTCTCGAATTAATTTGAATGCGCTCCCGACTAAATTTTTAACTAAAATTTGGTATGAGTAAACTAGACTTGATGAATAAGATGCTCTAAAAAATTCATCAAAAAATTCCACCGGGAACCACCCCAAATCGCGATGACCGGATAGAATCTCCTATAGAAGGACTTAATTGACTTTTTTATGAAAGTTCGAGGACCTATTTGACAGTTTTCCCAAAAAAGTATGTGTGTGGTATATACATATTTGTTTAGCAACACCAAAAATAACATTACCCCATTGCCGCAAAGGCTCCCCACCTATGGTGGGTTAAGGGGGGTTAGATGTACGCACCCTTACCCAATGGTCACATGCCTATTATAAGTTAGTAATTGCAGTGTTTATTGTCATTGCAATTGGGTTGATATTTCATTACATTTTTGTCTTAAAAATAAAATTAACATTTTCCCCAAGTGTATTTAATACTCATAGTATCTAAGGAAATTTACCTTTTATTTGCAATTTGTCAATTATATTATTTTTCTAGATGACTATAACTTGGTTTGTTGGTTGGACATTATGTCAGTTAGGACTTAAGAGCAGAAATTTGGGCCATATTTGTGAAAGACTTTCTTTCCTTTTTAAACCTCAATCAGGTTCTAAAAGACCCTACTGCCACAAAGGATGTTCTGAAGCTGCGCGCCAAGGCAATGAAGAAGTTGGGAACAATTTTCCAAGTAAGTGCGATATCTGCCCCCTTGCAAATACTGGTAGTGGATAGATGGGGGCACATTTTCGATTTTTGAATAGGGAAAACTATCAATTTGACCCTCGTACTATAGGCTAACCATCAATTACGTCTTCGTACTTTAGAAACAGTCAATTGAGCCCGCCAACTCTTCAAAAACATTCAATTAAGGCTTTGTAACCGGTTGTCTCCCGGTTTGCCGGTTGCTCACTGATCTGGCTGCTTACGTGGAGGTCATTTACCTATCTAGTAAGCTGAGTCAATATTTTTTAAACATCTCAGCCACATACCCTATCCTTCCCCAACATTGCTCCGTAGCCCTAACCACCTTTATTCGAAGGTTTGTGAAGAAGGGAAGCCGCCATAGCTGGTAAACAAAGTACAAAGAACAAGATAAGAAGGGCGGGGACTGGGGAGATGGGGGTGCAGCTAAATCTGGGTAAAAAAGTAGAATTTTTATGTTGTTGGGTGGATTGTTGGTGACTGCCCTTCTTTCATTAGCTTTTAGAAAGCGGAGGAAACCGACCGGTGGAGATGACTATCCTTCTTACACCAGCCACTAATATTCTCTCCCCCACAAAATCAGTTTTCCACCTTCAATCTTTATCTCCATCGGAAGCACAAAGTTGGGGGGAAACTCCCTGGTATCTTCTTTCTTTGTTTGAGTGGATGAAATTGGATCGGTTGTAAATCTGCTTTCCATTTCTGTATACAGCTCTACGGAGTACGGACCAAATTTCTTAAACGCAGAAGGGCTATGGCCGGAGCATGTTGGGGAAAGGAAGGAGCTGATGTGTTTAAAAAATAATGACTAAGCTTATTAGACAATCTCCACGTGGGCGAGCAACAGGCAAACCGGGAGACCACCGGTTACAAAGCCTTAATTGAATGATTTTGAAGAGTTGGCGGGCTCAATTGAATGTTTCTAAAGTACGAGGGCATACTTTAGAAACATGGTACGAGGGCCAAATTGATAGTTTCCCCTTTTTGAATATGGGGGGTCAAGATGGACTGTTTGGACGGGGGAATACTTTCATGTATATAATTTTAAATTTTGTATGAAACTCTATAGTAAATCTCCTGATTCCTTCTAAATATTTTTCCGTTATTCCACAGGGTGCAAAGGCAAATTGTGCTAGAGAAAGCAGCCTTCGTCACGAAAGCACCGATATTGTAGATGTCAATTCATCCTCATCCTCAAAGTGAGGATTGTATTTTTTTTAGTGTGCATCAGTTTTTTTTCATGCAAGCTGTAATTGTATGCAGCTCTTAATGCTTCATATATGTACATGATCAATGTTAATTAGTTCCTGTGACATGCCAGAATACGTCGTTGATTCAGTGTTTAATTTCAATGTGGTTGCTTTATATGTGGAGTTTGTAATAATGTCTCAATTGGACTGGACGCCTGGTAAATGGTTCTGCAATTTTATTTATCAATTAAATATTTTGATCATTTCCGCTTTTGGGGATCATTGCATGCATGGCTAGATTAATTTAGGGGTGTTTGGGATTCATTCTACTTCTGTTTGTTCTTAAGAAGTAGAATCATAACATGGGATTAGTTTAGATTCTTGGGATAACTTATCTCAATTTGTGCAAAATTACCAGAAATGTGTAGGGATGGACTCGGGCCGGGCCAACCGGCCTGGAACCGGACCGGCCCGCTACTGTGCGGGCCCGGACCGGCCCGGTGAACCGGTTAGTGCCCGGTTTGGGCCACCCGGCCCGGTGGGTTTTGGTTCTGGGCTTGGGCCCTCCATTTGGTGAACCGGCCCGGCCGGTTCGGGCCCGATCCGGGCCGAATTTAATTTTTTTCCTGAATTATTTTTAAGTTTTTGGGTTGGGCTGGGTATTTTGGGCCATTTGAGGTGGTTTGGGGGTGGGTTGGGGGTTAAATAGGAGAAGCCAAAAAAAAATTACAAACCGGGTGGCCCGGCCTGGAACCGGTGGCTACCGGTTCGGGCTCGGGCCCAACAAAACAGAACCGTGAACCGGCCAGGCCCAGGCCCGAACCGGGCCCGAACTGGAACCGGTCCACCCCTAGAAATGTGTAATATTTTGATTTTTTATCAGAAAAATAATATAAATAATATACTGAATATAATTTATAATGTTAAAATAATGGAATTCAGGTATCATAATATTAATATTGAAATTATGTAGAAGCTAGTGCTATTTTTTAAAAAACAATACTGGTACTACGGATTATTATATGGTAATATGGTATATTGCGGTATTGCCATATTGGCATGCTACACCGCCTAGGCGCCTACACATAGGAATTAGGATTAGTCAGTTTTGATTCATGCGGTTTGGTTTTTATTGGTTTAGTTTAAAAAAGGTAAACCAGTTGGCAATGATGCTATATTGCTATCAGATTTTTTATATCTGATATAAAATATACAGAGACCAGATATTTATAAAAAATGAAGGATATCCCTCGTACAAAGTAATTAAGAGAATGTGATTGAACTTTAATCGAGTTGACAAATAATAGTGAGTACTTGAAAAAGCCTCATGTATTTTTACATAATATACGTCACAATTGTTAGGATTCTAGACACTTATCCACTTCATATCTACCAATAAAAAAATATAGAACAAAATTGTCTTGAAAGATTGAAGATACATATATGGAGAAATCCATGGGATTGTGAAGAGTGTGGGTCCCACGAAAAAAATTGATTCTTGCCGCTATGCCAGGTGTGCAACGAGGTATATCGCGTGGCAAGCGGTGGCTTTTCCTCAAGCGCGACGTACTGACGTGGGATGATTTTGTCTTATCAACTCATTGCATGTCGCCCATGCAAAAATTATACGCCTTTTTACTATTTTAATTTACTTATAAAATAATTAATAAACACCGCATATATAAACATTATTAATCTGCCGGAACACAATCACTCAATCCCTGAAAACTTTGGTAGACGGTAGACCTTCCTATCATAAGCTTAAAATTATTAAATAAAAATACAATCTTTATAGTGCTATTAATAAAAAAAATTGTTAGTTAATTAGGCGTAATGGCGCATCTATATGATGAGCGGGGCAATCCAATCCAGCTGACGGACGAGAACGGCAACCCCGTCACCCTCACCGACGAGCACGGCCGCCCCATGCACCTCACCGGCGTTGCCACCACCGTCGATTCCCCCAGCGACCTGCTAGTTGCTGACACCACTGTTGGCGTCATCACCACCTTTGGCCCAGCTGGGGAGGCGGTCACGTCTGAAACCGCCGTAGTACGAGATCATCAACACCCAGAAGTACTATTGGAGCCTCCTCCTCCTTATCAACTGCATCCGCAGCAACTGCCCCGCACCGGCAGTTCAAGCTCCAGCTCGGTAATACTTCCCGTCAAAATTTGTTTTGCAAAGTCAATATTTTTTGATCAACGAATAATAAAAGTCAATCTTCTTTATAGATAATTAATTCAATTTTTAAAAATTAAGATTTATTACACATTGATAAACTACACTAAAATCTATTCAAAGTTGTAAACTATAAATTAGAATATAATTAAAAATTGACATCCTAATTAAGTGAACAAAATGAAACTACTTGACTAATTAAGAAAAGTCAAATTCATAGGTAGTATAATTATTGACAAGATTATCTTTTTTTGTAACGGTAATTAATTCATAGAGGAAATGGAGCTATTTGATCTAAATGGAGTATATTTAGATCAAATGGTAAATTTGATCTAAATGGACCATAAAGTCCTAAATGGGTTACTTATATATCAAGGCTAAGTTATCCCTTCTAAAAATTTTGAATTTAATCAGTAATAAGAAGTTTTCCTTATCCAAATGCAAGGCCGGTTTAAATGGATTTTGTATCTTCTCTAAAAAATGGATGTTGTAAAGGAAATACTTTTAATATGGGACTCGAGAAATGAGACTTATCACTTTGAGAAGGCGACGTCCATGTGGGAGTATCTCTTTGATCCTTGACTTTCTTTGATCAAACAACTTTAAAAAATATGGACTATCATCACTTTGGGAAAGGGTAATTTGTTATATATTCCCTCGTCCCCATAAAATGTGGTCATCTTTAACTTTAATTTCTTTGGTAAAAGTTCTTAAAATTTGACAATTATTAACCAAGAAATATGGCCAAGTTTTGTGGGGTATCTTTTTTTGTAAAATTCTTTCAATTTTAGATTATGATTTTCGTACAAATATATTACTCGATCGTACGAAGTATAACTTATACGGAGTGTTATTTTGTTCAAATTTTACCACTAACGTACTCCGTATTAAAGGCAGTCAAAGACCATCATGACCTTTTTTTCTGAAATGTGGAGAGTACGTATATACCTTAATCAAATGGAAAAAAACTATTCCCTCGTCCGTTACGAAAAGGATTGATTTTTCGTGTGACCAATAATATTTTTTAATACTAAATTGTTTTGAACATAAAAATTATATCAAAATGTTCATGACAAACCCAAAACTTTTGGGTAGCTGAGAGGTTTTTTCCTATATAACCTTGATGGAATGTTTATAGTCAGGTGAAGAAGGGGATGGACAAGGGGGGCGAAGAAGGAAAAAGAAAGGGCTGACGGAGAAGATAAAGGAGAAGCTGTCCGGGAGTAAGCACAAAGAGGCGGCCGTAGAACCACCGCTCAACGGCAGCGCAACCTCAACCACTACTGATAAGCACCACCATCACAAGAAGGGTGTGATGGAGAAGATCAAAGAGAAATTACCCGGCACCACCCATCACTAATTATCTTAGTTTCGAACCATATATTTCATTAATTAATAGGCACCATCTTGTGATGATCTCATCTTATATGCACATTTCTAAAATGTGCTCGTCCTTTTCCCTTTGTTTTTTGTTTTAGTTTTTTTTTTGTATTTGCATTTCATGTCTAGCTGATGCATTTATGTATTTCGATCTTATGCACAATAATAATTAAGGGCTCTCCATCATACAAGAAAGACATAACCACCAATCGATCAATTTATGTGTTTAGATATGATGTCTCAATAAGTCACGAGTACAAAACTATGATTCATGAAAAAATTGGCACTATCTATCTAAACATTGAAGTAGCAAAAATACATTTCGTTCTAAATGATACATTTCATGCCAAAATCCTTACAAATATAATCTACGGGATTCACTCTATGTCAGTTCTATATGTCAATATATACAATGTATTGACGAATGATACATACATGGTTCGTCTATAAGTTTTCAATAGATTTGGAACTCTTCAATTCGTGTAATATGGAACTCTCTTCAATGATAAGTATAGCATGCACTAAGCTTATAGCCATTCCAGATGGAAATCGATCTGGATGGATTGCACGTACACGTACATAGAGAATTATATTAAAGCCTTTGTGATGGCCAAGTGAGCTAGTGAGCTACCATATGCATATCCAATTCTCATACCTCAGGTGAGTATGAATCCATATATTTTGCCATGGTTGGGTTGATTGAAAAGTGAATTCATGATGATTTATTTGCTCTTTAAAGGTTTGATTAGAGGCTACTGAGGTTTGTTCTATAGCCACCAGTGATTATTTTGATACTTTTGGTGTAGTTTCTACTTTCTAAAGGATAGACAATCCTTAGACTTGTATATATATTGTCCTTGGTATTTATCTTTCGCGTGGTACTCTGATCTTCATGAATTATTAATTTTTGTCCCAACCTCGGTCTTATGTTAGTAAAATGGACCCTTGTGCAAACAAGGTGAAAGAGGATTTGCTCAAAAAAATTGCGACTTTCTAAAGTGATAAAGTGATTGAATTGTTTGTCGGGATTTCTTTTATACTCCGTAGTTCTTTAATTCTAATTTCACTATTCCTATATGCATTACTAATTATTCCACTAGAACTAGTTGAGGATTCAAATGTGCTGACTTCTATATGACAAACTTTAGAGCAAAGTAATTTGTGTCTCAACCAACTCAATTTGAGAATGGTAGAATGGTGGAGCAGCGAATCGTCGATATCAATTTTTTTAATCATGTGATTCTCGGGGTATAATTGCAAATTTTGAAGTCTTATATCTAGCGGAAAGTTTTAATGGTTAAACCTAGAGTTGTAAACGAATCGAATCGAATACTGAGTAATACTATTCGTATTCGTATAACTTGACGAATATTCGTATTCGGATATTATTCGAATCTTAAATTAGATTCGTATTCAATTCGTTAATGATATTCGAATATATTTGTATTCGAAAATTCGAATTCGAATATTTGTAGGGGAAATTTTTTCACACATTCAAAATATCATGTTTTGTTATCATGTTTTGTATGTATTTTCTTCGATTTTCGCAAATATTTCTATTAACTGAACTATTTTAAAAATCAACTACTTCAAAAATCAATTGGAAACCCGTTCAAAATAAAGTAAACATTGTAATCCCAAATATTTCTATTAACTGAACTATTTTAAAAATCAACTACTTCGAAAATCAATTGGAAACCCGTTCAAAATAAAGTAAACAT